GAACACAGCAGGCCAATGCTGCTTGGCCTGCTGTGTTCATCCAGCTCTACACCTTGTTATCTCAGATTCTCCAGCATCTGCAGTTCCTACTATCTCTGAAACAATTTTAACCCCACTGCGAAGCCTCTTCTAAGGATGCTTACCTTGAAGAAGTTACCGTCCTCCCTCCGGAAAAAAATGATGCTGCTTGGCCTGCTGTGTTCATCCAGCTCTACACCTTGTTATCTCAGATTCTCCAGCATCTGCAGTTCCTACTGTCTCTGCTTCTTAGGACTTGTACTGCTTGATTAGACCAACCAATAATTTCAGAATATGAAACTGATCCATCACTTTGTCTGGGATTACCCTTCTTCAGGTCCCCACCTGAAACGTCAGTTTTCCTGCTCCTCTGATGCTGCCTGGCCTGCTGCGTTCCTCCAGCTCCACACTGTGTTATCTCTGACTCCAGCATCGGCAGTTCTTACTATCTCATCACTTTGTCTGGGTCACATTGTATCTTGGGAGCAGGGCAAATAATACACAAAGATTGCTTTGAACTCCACTGCTCCAAAATATCATACACATAAGGAGCTTTGGAATAGTTATTTTGAATCTGAATCTAAGGAAAACACCAATTCAAAAGAACTGCAGAAATGTGAGTGTTGAACGTGTTACGATGCTCATGTAACATCAATAGAGGGCGCTCTAACACAGATTGTTTACCTTGAGAACATTTCAAATAGAAATTTTGCATCGTTGCATTATAAGTCAAAAGTCCGACAGTTAACCCATGCACATGTATATAAAAACATACAAACGGAATGATGATAATCTTATACAAATTCACCTAGTCCATAAATGTCATTGTTGTTTTGGTTTAGAGTTTCTCTTCAATTTTATTTCATTTCTCTGCGACAACTTACTTATGGTAGAAGGCAGCTAAAGACAAATTGCAATGTTGTGTTGGGGCTGCAGTTTTCACCATCTTATACATTCATGATCTGCATGTAAGATCAGAGCTGCATACTAAGGCTGCACGACACTAGGTTAGGAGGCACAACATGATGGAATCAGAGAGTTACAAAATAACATTGACAGATGAAATGTGTGAGCAAACCCAAAGAGCCAATTGGGGAAATGTGAAATTATCAGTGGGGAACTCAAGGGTTACAGAGAAAATGCAGGAAAGTGGATGTGAGGAATGTTGGATCAGCCATTGAATGATGGAGCAGGCTTAAGGGGCTGAACAGCCTATTCCTGTTCCTTTTTTCTTATGGTCTTTGTTACTTGGATCTGAGAAAGGCAAAAGGGACTGTTTTTGTTACTGGCAAGAGATAGGCTGTAGAAAAGAGTAAAGGGATTTAGCTATTCCTGCACACAAATTAATAAAAGCTGGTGAGAGGAGCTGTGGGGCCACAGTGCAGATTCACTGGAATGATACCAGGGTTTAGAAAGTTATGTGGAGAGGTTGTATAAACTGGGTTGGTATTCCCTTGGGTTTGGAACAGTCGAAAGGTGCTCTAATTGAGATGTTTAAAATTATAAAGAGATTTGATACAGATAAGTTAGTTCCTCCAGTGAAAGAACTGAGAAAAAAGAGCAATTATTTTAAACCTAGAGCTCGGTGAGTTAGAAGTGAAATCAAGAGTACTTTCTCGCACAAGTGGAGATGGGAATTTGGAATTGACTTTGCAAAATGATGAGAATCCTGGATGAGTTGTAGTTTTCAAAATTGAGATTTTTGCATGATGAGGGTGTTAGGGACACGAACAAAGTTAGGTAAATGAAATTGAGAAATGCGTCAGTCTTGATCAAATTGAATGGTGGAATAGGCTCCTATTCATAAGTTTGCACTCCTATTGTTTCAGCACAGAAAAACCAACCTCTTTATTGGATCACTGTAAAAGATCGCAGTGAGTTCAAAACATGGTATTCTCATGGTAGCCTCTCTGTTTTTATTTACGACTGACGACAATCACATCACACACAGAATGTTGTGTTAGTGTTCAAGAAAATAAGCCTGGATAATGAAATGTAATGGATAGTTACTAAATTCTCTGTGCAGTTTGCTAAACAGGAGATGTATACAGATGAACAAGGATATTTAACCCATTCTAACTATTTCATCTGAAGTAAACTTTAATCACATCAGAGGTTCCAACCATTTCTTAATGATTCCACGATTTTTGTCTTCCTACCAGCCTTTCCGCATGCTTATCATATTTTTCTGTGAAGAATTCCTCAATGTTGGTCTTAGATTTTGTTCTTTCACAACCAGAACCCACATTCCTGACCTGCTTTCACAGACTAATTTGTTTGAGTTTGACCTTTTCTATCTCATTTACTCACTTAACCAGATCCTAAGAGGAGTGTTGCAGGAGCAGGACACCAGGTTTGAGGGCCCTTAATGTAGATTCTGCCCTTGCCCAATATTAGCTTGCATAGTGAAAACAAGTTGGATTTACCATGGTGTGAATTTCTGCCCTCAGAGAAGAAAATCATGGCAACAACAGGAAAAGGCCCTTAAGTGTCAATTAATTAGCAATTTAATCACTCCAATTGTCCCTGATCTGGGCAGGCTAACTGACGCATCATTCACTATGCATAAAATTACAGTGAGGACAGACGCAGGGATGGCTGAATATGTACCAAGAACCATGCCCATAGCACTGTGCCCAATCTTACATCCTACATTTATCTGCAAATCCACCCCAGGAAGAGTAAAATTCATCCCAATATTTGTGCTCAATAAATTATAGTTTTGTTCTATTTTGGGTATTTTCCCTTTCACAATTAGTTTCTGGCTTTTTTATATTTCAAAAACATACTTTATTCATAAAAATATCTTTATATACATACCTTATCAAGAAAGCAGTTTGGTTCTGTACAGTAGCACATGGAGAAGCAAACAAACATTATTTGTTTGTTGAACAAACATAGTTCTGAGGAAGGGTTACCAGATCCGAAACATTAACTCTGATTTTTTTCTTCACAGATGCTGCCAGACCTGCTGAGCATTTCCAGCAACTTCTGTTTTTGAAACAAACATTGGAGTTTGACTCTATCTAGCAAACAAACCAAAGGGATTCCTTACTAGTACGAGACTATATTTATATATATTTGAGGCACCAGGAAGGCCCATTAATTGAATGGACTCCCATTTAACTTCAGCAGGAAGACCTTAGACAGTGGTCTTTCCCCACTGCGTTTCGCAGCAGCTGCCCCGAGCTACACCCCTTAGCACATAGCCCTGGACCTTAGAATGTGCCAGTCTGTAACACTCGGTCAGGGTCAGCTCCTTGCTCTGGATGACCAACAAGTCTCGGGCAGGCAAAGAGCTTCTCTCAAGGAGTCGATGGTCCTCCAGGTGTAATCAATGTTTGTCTTGATGTGCATCCCAGGAAACAGACGGTATAGCACAGAGTCCTGCGTCACAGAGCTGCTCGGGACAAACCTTGACAAAAACCATAGCATGTTTCTCCAGATGTCCTTTGCAAAGGAACATTCCGGAAGGAGATGTGTCTCAGTCTCTACCGTCCCACAGCCACTTTGAGGGCAGTGTACAGTGGCACAGAGAGTCTGGGCACACATGAAGGATGGCACAGGGTTCTCACCACCAGACAAGCAATGTCTTGGCATTTGTTCGAAAGTTCTGGTGCTGAGG